TGGTGCTGGTGATCAAAGTCAAATTGAATCCTGGACTGGACTCTGTAAACAGTTTGTGTTTTGGAGGAGGTGCAGAGGGTGCTTCCGCACCGAGCAGATGCTGAGCCTCCACCTCAGTGACCCATCTCGCTCGTGCTGTCTCTGCACGGCATGTTTCTCTGTATGTGTTATGATCCGGGGTCACCCCCCCCCCCCCAAAAAAAAAAAGAGGGGGACATGGAAGGATGAGCTCCCCTGAGATCAGACCCTGACCGGCCCCTGAGGGCGGCCCGCCACACGGCTGCCATTTGCTGGCTGAGCCCGGCACTGAGCCAGTCTGCCATGCCAGGGACTGGCTGGGAGGGGGACAAAGAGGGCGCAGAAAGTGGGGGTAGGGTATATGGATATGGGCAGGGGAGTGGGGGCAACAGATGCCTACTGAAGCCACAGGGGAAATCCCTGAAAGCTTCCTCCTCCTCTTTCCCCCACCCCTGCTTCTCTCCTGCAACTGGTGGCGTCCAGATTCATCGTCAGTGATACAGATCACACTGTCTGTCTGCTGAGTGGCCTTTGGGTCAGGGTGGAGGGTATGTGTGTGTGTGGTGGCGGTGGTGGTGGTGGGGGTGAGGGGGGTACACTTGCTTTCACCTCTAAGTTGTTGCTTTTTTTTCCAGTTTTCTTAATAAAGCCTGGAAGATTGCTGGCCAACTTGTGAAAATTTACTTCTTAACAAAAAAAGACTCTTGTCATGTTTTCAAAATTAAATCCTTAAATTTATCTGGACAGAAAGATTTTTTTTCTCTCTCAAATTGTGGGAGAAACCTCCCCAAAATCTTCAGGTCGTCATCAAACAAAGCTTTTCAATTAACCCCTGTTTCACTCTTATACTTTATACTGTTCTGCGATCTACACTAAACTGTCCAAAGTGATAAATACGTCTCTTAATATCACATTTATTTGTTAATGTACATTCTTATATATTTATTATCTTACTTTTACTATTTTATGTACAGCACATTGACTAAGAGCAGTTGTTTTATAAATAAATTTAATTGATTGTTATTTTGTGCCAATATAAACATTCGTGTTGTAAATGAACTATGCAACTTAAATACAAAAAAAAAAGTGTAGAACCGTACATTTAGATTTTAATATCTTTTAATGACAAATGGTCAGGTATATTTTATGATAAAATGTTACTTATATCAAGAAGTAAATGTCCAAAAAGATTTCAAAAAGGAAACTAACCAAAGGTAAATACCTAAAGAGAAATCTCAACTTACCACAGTGTTCCAAGAAAAATACCAAAGAGAAAAAAAAAAATCACAAACTCCTTCAATTTTTCTCCTGAAGTTTAATCTCTGGTTATTTCAGCAGCAAAGCTTAGTGTCAAAAAGTAAAAGAGAGATTTCCCAACGATGAACCCAGCTGAACCAGTTGGAAAAACAGTGAGATGTCAGTATCCACTGGAAACCTGGTAAAAAAAAAAAAAAAAGCCCATCCAAGATGTTTCCAGTTTGATTTCAGTGAGTTCCTGAAGCTTTAGATGGAGAGTAACTCATCTACCATCCCTGTCTCACTGTGAGTCAACTCCACTGACCAATCCCAATCAGATATCTGACCACAAACACACGTCTCACCTCCTCAAGGTCACCACAGCTTCTCCTCCACTCACTCTGATCACCCAACAACCAAAAGAAAAAAACCCACTAAAAAAACTCCACCCCTTTGCACCATCCCAACCTAAACACACACACACACACACACATACACACATACACTATCCATCCATGCGCCATCTCGAGCCATGAATGGACGAGAGGGTGTGAGCTGACAATAGTGGGGAGGGGGACACAAAAGAGGGTCCTCGGTGGGCAGCTGCACACAGACACACCATGTTTAGGCCAACACACACTGAAATGCGTAGAAAGAGCTAGTAAACACACACACATATATATACACACACACAGGACCTAGATATGAGCTCTGTGGAGCACCTGGCCCACTGGAGATGGCTGCTGTCTTCCACCCCTTTGTCTCATGGGAGGGGGGAATGGAGCGGGGAACCTCAAACAATGAGACAAATCACGTTAAAGGTAGAAGCAAGTGCCAGGATGTGTATGTGATGTATGTGGTTTGTTTCCACCACATGTTAACATGTGATGGAAAGTTAGCCAGTGAGTAGAGCAACATAAAACAAGAAGTAAAAAGACAAAAAGGGCAAGTTGGACAGGATAAGAAAGAAGAAAAATTACACACACACACACACGCACACACACACACACACACACACACACACACACACACACACACACA